CCTGGGGAAACAGATATTACTGTTATCATTATTATCATGAACATTATTGTCATTATTGATATTACTGTTAGTATTAGTATTATTAACAACATTATTATGATAATAATAACAACGTTTATTTTTATCTTTATCTTTATTACTATTATTATTATTTACATTATTAATATCCTTTTTATTTTTATATCATTAGGATCAGTATTAATTAGTATTATTAATATTACTGTTTTTACTATTATTTTTTTATTATTATTGTCAATAGCATTAGTATTAGTATTAGTATTGATAACAGTGTTAGTATTATCAGTATTATCTTCATCATCATTGTCATCATCATCATTATTATTATTGGTATGATAGTTATTATTACCATGATTCCGTCATTATTACATTACCATCATCAATATTGTTATGATCATAATCATCATTATTATCGCTGTTATTATTATAACTATTAACATAATTGTTAATATCGTTATTATCATTATTATCGTTATCATTATTATTATTATTATCATCAATATTACTACTGTTGTTGTTATTATCATTATAATCATTATTATCATTACTATTATTATTATTATTATCGTAATTACCATCATTATTATTGTCATTATTGTTATTGTTATTATTATCATTATCGTTATCTTTATTATTACTGTTATCACTTTTATCATCGTTATCATTATGATAGTTATTATCATCATTATCATTATCATCATCACCAATATCATCATTGTCATTGTCAGAATTATTATCATCCTTATCATTATCACAATTATTATCACCATTATCATTATCATTATTATCATTATCATTAAAATCCGCTCTCTCTCTCACCTTAATTAACCCAAAACTATCAAAGCCCAGAATTTTTTTTATTCCCCTCGATAAAAGCGGAAAGTTACCACAGGCCTCCACCACATGCCCTAGATCAACCTCGCTCAAGCAGCCTAACGCCATTTCGTCATCAGAGGCCCAAGTCTCGCTCTAAAATGGATCTGAACGAAGGTTTCATAATGCAGATATGTGTGTGTGTGTGTAACTGTGTGACTTAAGAATATTCGTTATGTTGAGGAATATTTCTTAAGGGGTTAGGTAAGGGTGAGAGAAAAATTGAGTGTGTTGATATGTAAAATCTGTTGTCTTTTTGTGATATTTTGGGTGATATTCCGATGTGTTTGATTGATTTATTAAATGTAGCTGATAAGATCTGACGTTTTATTTCTTAAAAGATGATGGTTATATAATGTAGTAATGAGTTTTTTACTGATGCATTTAAAGAAATTTATTGCGTGTGTGTGTGTGTTTGTGTTTGTGTCTGTGTTTGTGACTATGAATGCGTATGGGTGTGTTTGTTTTCTCGTGTGTATGTGTGTGTGTTTGTGTGTGCGTGTGTGTGTATGTGTGTGCTGTGTGTGTGTGTGTGTGTGTGTGTGTATGTATGTGTGTGTTGTGTGTGTGTGTGTATGTGTGTGTGTGTGTGTGTGTGTGTGTGTTGTGTGTGTATGTGTATGTGTGTGTGTGTGTGTGTGTGTGTGTATGTGTGTGTGTATGTGTGTGTGTGTGCGTGTGTGTGTGTGTCCTTGATCTTCTCCCACTCACTATGGTGTTCTCGTCCTTTTCACCTAGTTATAAATGTCGCCAAACTAAGCAATAAACAGCGACCTTTAAGCGGCTCGCAAGAGTGACAGAGCGAGGAAAATTCTCGTCGCTGAACATTTTTTTTGTTTTTTTTGTTACTACGGGAAAGCATTATGGGTCTTCTCTTCTGTTCTTCTCTTGTTCATTGTTCTTTGCTTACTTGTTCGTGTTTTTTTGTGTTTTGATGGTTTTTTTATCCTCGTGTACTTGTTCTTTGTTTCTTGTTCCATGTTTTTTGTTTTGTTTAATGTTCCATGTTTTTATTTTTATTTCTTTGTTCCTTGTTCCATATTTCTTACTCTTTGTTTATTGTTTGTCGAGTTTGATTGTTTGTTTGCCATGTGTCTTGTTCTTTTTCTCTTCTTTATTGTCTGTTTCTTGTTGGTCCCTTTTCCCTTTTTATTATTTATTTTTCTTTATTTGTTCCATGTTTGTTCCTTACTTCGTCTTCCTTGTTCGTCCCTTGTCTCTCGGCTCCTGTTTTTTGCTTGTTTCTTGTTTTTTTACTTTCTGTTTCTCTCGCCCCTCGTCCGTACTGCTGTTTATTGCCATTTTAATTCAACTATTCAATTGTTATTATGATTCTTATAATCTTGATGTAGTTTATAATCGTCTTTATGATATTCTCTGAATTAATGTTTTACTTCTTTTCGAGATGATTTTGTGTGTATCGTTAAGAAGTAAAATGGTACTAATTATTTGCAGTTCATTTATGCAAATTTTTATGGTACGACTTTCGAAATTATTTTATGGGTTCATCCTGACTACTAATGACTGGTCATTAGTAATTGGTTAACTGTTATTGCAGCTTGAATATAGTGAAACTGGATTTATTGCTAATCTGATGTATGGAGGATACAAGTTTTACGATTATATGTATGTATATATATATATACATATATATATATATATATATATATATATATATATATATATATATGTGTGTGTGTGTGTGTGTGTGTGTGTGTGTGTGTGTGTGTGTGTGTGTGTGTGTGTATGTGTGTGTGTGTGTGCGTGTGTGTGCGGGCGTGATTGCAACAAAGGCTAAATAAGAGCACAGAATCATGTTCCAACGTGTTAGTCCAACAGATACAGATAAATTAACATATCCAGGAATAAAGACGTGTAATGACATAGCCAGAACTTTTCATCACCCCCTTCTCCTCTCCTCCTCCTTCATTCCTTCCTCCCTCACTCCCTCGTTTTCACTTCCTCTTCCCATCCTTCCTCCTTCCTTCCTCCTCCCATCCTTTTCCTTTCCTCCCTTCCATCCTCCTCCCCTTTCTTCCTTCCTCCTCCTCTTCCTTCCTTCCTCCTCATTTCCTTCCTTCCTCCTCACTTCCTGTCATCGAAATCAAACTCTTCCGACGAGAGGAACGCCCCCTGCTGCCCGTTCGCGAAGACTCCGCCCACGCTGACGGGGACGGCGTTCGACTCGAGGACTCTGTAGCCGTCGTCGTCAGCCACGTATTTCACGAAGTATTCTGTGCCGTCGGGGGATCGCCAGCTGTAGAGGGGGGGAGGGGGGGAGGGGGTTGATTAATGTAAATAGGGGTTTAGGTGAGGGGGAGGGGGGAGGGGGGGTCTTATTAGATTTGGGGGGTTAAGGGGAGGTGGGGCGGTGTGGAGAGGGGTGTGCTGTGGGTGGTGGTGGTGGTGTTGCTTTTATTGTTGTTGTGGTTTTGGTTATTGTATGTTTTTGTGTTATACTTGGCGTGTTTTTGTTAGCTCTGTGAATTATTAGTTGTGTTATCTTTGTCTGTTATATCTTGTTACATTTGCTTGTAACTGTTCTAACGTTTGGTTGGCATGACTGTTGTTAGGGTTATCCTAATTGTTACTTCCGCCAAGGAGGTTATGTTTTTGACGGCGTTGGTTTGTTTGTTAGCAGCCTAGCTCAAAAAGTGCTGGCCGGATTTCATCGAATTTTTGGGGACAAGTCAGAAAGGGACTAACTTAGAACTGATTAAATTTTGGTGACATTCTGAATTACCGTCTGGTTATTATTATTATTATCATTAATTAATCAATAAACAAGTTCGGTACACAAATCTACGGTAAATATCTGCCACATTTCACTGACATTCCGAATTACCGTCTGGACGCAGCAGCGGTGTAAGTGCATTATATACGCACCTTGGCGGAGGTCTGCACTCTCTCAGTGCTTTTCTAGTTATTAATATTATCCTAACTGTTGCTTTGGCTGAAACGACCTATTTCCTGGTTGTTATCCCTGCTCTCGTGTTGGTTGTTATGTCTGTTGCAGTTCGGTTGTTGTTAGGCTTTGAGTGTTGTTATTTTTTGTTTTGAAATGGCCTTTGTATCGCAATTGTTATAAAGGTTATTTTGGCTCTTACAGAACGTCGTTTGGTAATGTCGTTTTGGACTGACGTTATTTATTGAAAATGTTTAGTATTATGATTATCAATATTGATATCACTTTCACTGTCATTATCATTTCTATTATTATCATAATTAGCATTATCCTTTTCATTATCATTATTAGCAATATCGATTTCATTATCATCATTAGTATTATGTGTTTCATTAGCATTTTCATAATTATTCTACTAGCATCGCCATTACCTTAACAATCATCATTATTGTTCAGAAACTGACCTGTAGGAACCGAACACTTTTTGGTCGTCGAAGTCCTGGCCGTGACTAAAGGTATCGAACACGAGGTCGAGGATGCTATCGGGGCGGGCTGTTGCCATGGCAACCAAACCGAGGAGAACAAATAGCTGAAATAAACAAGAAATAGCTGATATAAATGGATAGAAAGATTTGAGTGGATAGGTACAAGGTGAGTAAAATTGATGAATAAGAATTGAAAAGCTGAAAGGGTATATATACATATATATGCATATATATACCTACACACACATTCATTTATATACATAAATATGTGTATATTTATATATACTTATATATGCATATATATACATATATGTGTGTGTGTGTGTATGTGTATATATAGATACATATATTTATATATATATATATATATACATATATATATATATATATATATATATATATATATATATATATATGTGTGTGTGTGTGTGTGTGTGTGTGTGTGTGTGTAAATAAGAGGGGGGATTAGATTTCAGATTAATCCTTATAAAACACACAAACAATCTATAAAAATCTATCTGTAGAAGTTACATTAGATAGAATATCCACATGATATCAAAATTTTATGTAAAGCAACGAGCCCTTCCGGCGCCCTTTCCCCGCCCAACGACCTCGACACAAGCCAAGGGACGCCGCGCACCTTCCACTGCATGATGGCGGGAAAGAGAAGGAAACTGGTGCCCGGACCTCGATTCTCACGCCCTTTATAGGCGGTTCCT